CGCCGCCATCTCTTGGATTGCCTGGTGCAGCGTGGCACGATCCGCTGGCGGGATGGTGACCAGACCTGCCAGGTTGTCTTTGTCGAGGGCAGCGAGAAGCACCCATAGCACCTCAGCCTCTGTCCACCCCGCCATCTCACAGTTTGTGAGAAAGCGCCACTGGAAGGTGGCCCAGTCGCCTCCAGCGGCTGAGAACTCCCTCAGAATGGCCAGACGCTGCTGGAGAGATGAGACGCGTGCTGCCAACAGCTGTTCTCCATCACTTTGGGCGCTAACTCAGCCACTCACCGCAATCAAGATGGTGGCCCCCTGCGCCGGTCGGGTCAAGCGTGACGCGGCGGTCCCTGGTTGGTGGGAAACTTTGGCGGGAACCGCGGAAACCTCCGATTGATGAAGAGTTTTTGGCGGGAAATTCTGCTTTTTCGGCGGGAATGCGGAAGCGGCAGCGAGAGCCACAGTCACGCGTCGCTCCACTCCTCCCTCATCCGCCGCCGGCTCCCCACAAAGGATTTCATCCAACATAGACGCCGCTGCATGGAGGAGCTTGGCAAGGTGGGAGTGAGCCGCCTGAAGTGCTCTCCCCGAAAGCGGCAAGCCACCGAGCAGCGGGACGGCGTGCTGCCTCTCCACCCTCTTCTGGGGCCGCCAATCCCGGGGCTGTTGCTACGTCGTCTTCATCCTCCGGAGACCAGGTACGTGCTCTGCTCCTCGTCTCCATTTAGCTAGTTAATTACTTACTGTGTGGCCACTTCTGACACCACTTGTAGTGGTTCACACGAGGGAGGCAGATACTTCTTGGAGGGAACACATTTATTACAATAAGGGGTATAAATTCCCCTTCACCAGCTACCCCTAGGGAGGTATCACCTCCGGGCTAGCTAACCCTAGCCCACACGGGGTGGCTGTCTCGGACCGGACCCTGGCTCGGGTCCGGGTCCTCTACTCGGGCAGGACTTGTCCAGGTGACGGCTCCTGTCTTCAATCTTGCAACAGCTGCCGGACCCGTTCAGGGGTCCGGGTTATATTGCCAGTCCCGGGGTTTCCTCCACCCCTGGCGACGCCTCCCTTCTTGAGCCTTTGAGAGGGACCTGGTCCTGGTCCCATGATCCCCCCAACCCCCTCCTTGGGGCCCCTTAATTGGTACCTCCGGTCACCAGGCCTCCGGGTTCACCTGGAGTGCCATGGCCCCCGGTGAACTCCTGCGCCGTCCCTAGCGCTCTCGCCCCCTATCTGCCAGAAGCTGGCACTGCATGTGGCTGGTGTGAGCGGCATGCATCGTGCCTCACACAGGCCGGCTTATGTCCCATGCAGTGGCCTCCACCGATGCCACTTCATCAGTATGGTGTTAGCTACGGGAATGACCGTCCCTCAGTTATGTTCCATGAATGTCCGAACCCGCTTCTCATTTACCTGGTGCCGCAGACACACCACCTCCCTTATGCGAGGTGGCACAGACAAGGCTTTGAGCTTGAGATGGGCTTACTGCAGTCTCTCAAACACCTTGTAGAACTTGTTCAGCTATGCTCTTGCCAAATATAAATCACATCATCCAGGTGTATAAAGTATTTATCTCACTGCAGACCCCACATAACCAGCCCTATCAGTGTCTGGAATGTAGCCTGAATATTTGTCAGACTAAATGCAAGACCTGGACTTCAAATAACCTCAAGAGTGTAGTCAATGCCGTATGTGCTCTATCAACCTCATCTGTAGACATCTTCCGGTACCTGGATGCCATATATAATGTGGAAAATTGTCATGCACCCGCAAGGCTGGCATTTGTCAAATATAGTTTAATGCGAATATCATAGGGAGGTTATAATGGTTCAGTTCAGTCATTTTTCCATAATCAGAATTATCACATAACTCAGGCTGTCCTGGAGGTGTTCTATCACTCTTTATCACAGGTCTCGATAATGTGTTCTCATTTCCTGTGTCCCTACTCTCTTCCACACTGAAAATACATTGCACCTGCTAATTCAAACAATCATCACGAAGTTAGCAATGGACTGTTGCGCCAATCATGTGACCTCTTGCGACAGCATTCACAAAACTGCTCTTGCTGCAATTTCAGCGTCACAATTAATGTGTTTGATCCATGTATCATGGGGGTGACTATAGGGATGGCGCCGTTCTTTTGAGGACCACTGTCTGCTTCAAACATCAACCACCAATTTAAGTGAGCAGTTTACTCGAATTCATACTCTTTGGTTCTTTCGGTAAAATCACGTAGATAGAAAAAAATAACTAATAAATCACGACGTTTCAATTGCAACACAAGCCATCGTCTTCAGGTGAAACAATACAGCAGGCGCACTGCTGAGGAAATGGAGCGAGAGAGCTACTGTAACCAAAGGTTATGTACGTTTGTGCTGGGTACAACCCAAGTGGGCGGGACTAGGGATGGAATTTGCAAGTAAATGTAATCGCAGAGAGGGTAGGGGTGGGTGACCTCGGCTAATCCGAGGAGGAGGGAGGGGGTGCTGCCGTAACGGGCGAGAGGGTTGGGGTGAAATTTTACAGAGGAAAAAAAAGGTGATAGAGAGAAAAATAAAACAGATATCAAACTTGGCAAACTTAGAAATGTAATGCAACTCAGAGAGTCGGCCAACACAGCAGTTAACACTATACCTGGTTGATCAATGTCGTTGGGACCAAATGCAGTTCAAATCGTTAATTTTTCTTGAAGTCAGGCTAATTCAGTGCATGACATGAGGCCTACATCATTCATCAAGAGTTTGTATAGAGCCATATAAAGACAAATTCCTCCACACAGCTTTGCCGTTGATGATGCAGCATGTTTCTGGAGATTAGGCAAGTAGAGTCGATTGACAAAATTGAACAAAATGAGTGGCTTAATGCAGCCAGTATAAAATCCAAATCGAAATTTTTTTTTATTGTCAAGTCCATTCATGCATATTTTTTTCAAACTTAGGTCTGATTGGAATGCGGTTGAGATGACAAGTGACTCCAGAATATAAGTGCAACTAATAACATTCCCAACTTGCTCTTGTTTATCTGGCTAGGGTGCACTAAGCAGTTGTAACATGCACGAGAGAAGATGTGGGCTGATGACATCAGAGTTATACGAGGATCTGGTGCTGAATTGATTTGTGATTGTGAAAAGGACTCGGAGCTGAATGGTCTTGTGCCAGGAGTGCATAAATCCTTAAACCGTCTGGACAATCCCATTAGTGCTCCCCTTTGGCAGGGAAGGTTGCATTGGTAGGGCCAGCCACTGCATGCTAAAGCAGCTTCTGTGTGGCTGGATAGAGGGGGCTAAATGAGCAGAGTGTAGACTAGAGAAAAGATGGGGTGTTGTATTATGGAACGATTTTGAGCTGATTAAACTTGCTGCCGAAAAGTACCAGCTGTATAAAGATTTAGCTCTGGTGGGGACTCGTGAAGGACTCTACCAGTCAGTTGGAGGTTGGCCCTCCCGCAACCACGGAGGGCGAAGGCATATTCACAACAGTGAGCATCATGATGGGTGGCTAAAAACACATGGTAGAAGTGCGGAGTACAGGTGGTGCATCTGCCAGCCATCTCCATTACCTCCTGCTTGTGAAGTTAAACACTTCATGTGGCCTCAAACTGTACCTGGATTAGCATAAGTGCCATGGTGATATCACCTCAATTTAGTGATGGTGGATTTGTGTATATTGATTTCATATTCATTATTAACATTTTTATCCTTTGGGACCTCCTTTGCCAGTACCAAAATATGAGAATAGGTTTTCCCCTTTTGTTTGGCAACAAAACAGATGTTAAGATGTTAAAACACCAAACTGAAACCTTTTACAAGGAATCATGTCTCAATTAACCACAATACTTGTGGTTAGAATGCAAACAAAAAACATACTCTGATAATATATGGATTGTCTTTGAAACTGATTGGTCCACACCAGAGACAGAGGACGCCTTTTGGCGCCTTTTGGCGTCCTCTGGTCTAACACTGTTTGAGACTAGGCTCGAAAGAAAGCTGTCTCTGGCGTGAACCAATCAGTTCCAAAGACAATGCATATATTACTCTTTGGTTCTATTCGGTAAAGTCACGTATATTATCAGAGTATTTTTTTGTTTGCATTCTGACCACAAGTATTGTGGTTAATGCAGACATGTTTCATTGTAAAGGTTTTAGTTTGGTGTTTTAACATCTTAACACATGTTTTGTTGCAAAATAATAATGGAAAACCTATTCTCATTCTTATCCTTTCACTGGTTACTTTCTCATTTGTGTACATAGTTATCAGCCAAGAAATGAAATATCACGATATTTTGCTTCATAATTATGAGCGAGATGATACTGATTGTCTGACAGGGACTCAGGATTCAATCTAAATGCAGTGCTGGCTCAGTTATTTAGCTTGGGAATGAGCAAAGATATGAGTCATAATTTATTTTTGGCTAGGCTACTTAAATATCTGGCCAAATGGTTGTTGTGTATCCCTTCACCACCCAATATAGTCAACTTGTCTGCAAGTGTTTTAAAGCACGACATATTGTTTTAGCACACCTGTCATTTGAAGAACAATTCTTAAAAACAAATTTAGCAATAAGATATCACATTTTGCTTAAAACTTCCTAAAACATTGAGACCAAGAGCCCATAAGCTAGATTTATAACAATAGCTAAGTCGAAAAAACAGGTGCAAGTGTTAAGTTACATATATAGCGTGATCTTTGTACAATATACAACATAATCATGAGGATATCATGAACACACCATATTATATACATTGATGCATAGAGTGCTGAAACGATGCCTAGAAGACCCAAGAGGACGGAGCAGAACCATTGCATCAGCTCGTCATGAAATAATAGATCAAGAAGGAGTGGAAGACATGAGAGAATAATAAAAACAGCACTGAACAGAACTTGGAGTCAACACTAATGCACTAAATCAGCAATAACAAAAGCACAAATACCAAGGCATTCGAGAATAAGTGCAGGGGTAAGACATATCGGTGTATAATTTAAAAGACGTTCGTTTCCCCACAGGCCAATGGGGAGCATGACATCTGGTTGTTCGTCATGGCCGTGCTGCTCTCAAACATCCTGGTCTACAACACCGTGGGGACTCTGGACCACTCCGGCCTGGAGCAGCTACAGTATCCTTCACAGAGCGATAGGTTACTCACATAGCAACACATTAAGCAGAGAGGCAATATACTTCCATGGGTTTATGGGCCCAGATCAAGGTAGTCACTATGAGGCCTAAGCTAGGCCATATCAGAATTAGCAATGGCATCACTCTCTGTGATGCACATCTCCAGATGAGAATATTTGTGTCATAGAATTATACTTCCCATGTCATCATTAGCCATGATCTATCCACTGTTGCAGCCTCCCCAAATCATCACCACCTTTTACATGCTTGTAATTCAATAATCCACCAAGCTCCCACACACGAGTTGAATTCATAACTTAAAAAATCATTTGGCCTTTCATAAGAGTTGCGAGTAGGACATGTGCAAGATGCAGCAGGTTACCAAGACAGGCATTGGTGTGGCAGCAAGAGGTTGGCGACCAAGGGGAGACCTAAAGCCTGTTGTTAGAATACTTTAACTTTGGTCCGTAAAGGACGAGTCGACTTTACAATAAATACTTCATTTATTCAAAAGGAAGCAGGGTGCCGTGGCATCAATGGTATTGGTTTTGATGACCTATAATACTTCACCTTGTCATCTCGTATGTACTGTAGGCACAGTAACACTTATTGAAGCTGAAATGTGGGGTAAGCTTGAAAGTCTATACTTTACTTAATATAAATAAACCCAAAAAGATCCAAATGTAGACCTGTTTGTTCACCAATTTACTCTCTGTACGAAAGGAAAAGATGTCTGTAGGTTTTTTTTTATGCTTTTCAACAACAATACACACTCGAAGTACACACATAATAGGAATTTTATATTCACGAACATGCTTCACTGGAATCCCCGGCCGTGATCTAGGAAATGAGGGGAATATTTAACAAGTTATTGGAGGGCTAGCGGAAAGAGATAGAAGAAACGAGTAAAAAGGAAAACAGAAAGGAAGGAGGTGCCTGGCTTAGATTGATATCAGCAACAGTAACAACACACAAGGGAGAGTTATTTGTAAAACAATGTCTGAGAAAAGAGCTACAGCAGGAGGTGGCATAGTAGCACAAAGAAGGGTCAGATGGAGCAAAGCGACTCAAGGGTGGCATCAAATCTTTGTATATAACACCGGTGACAATTGTGACAGAACCCCTGTGTGATCAAATGTAGATATTTCCCATCATGTTTAAGGCGTTCTGGAGTGAATCTACATGCATCATCTTACCATGCGGTCTGCTGCTAATGTCATTACACTCTTCGTTGGACGTTCTTTTAAATAATGTGAATACATTTAATTTAAATTTTGATTTAAAGCTTTCGTGACTGCAGTAATTCATATTCTTAGTTTTTTCGGTAAAGTCACGTTGAAGGGAAACAACAAAATAATAAAATATATATTTTTATTATTGTTTTATATCTATTTTATTATTTTGTTGTTTCCCTTCAACGTGACTTTACCGAAAAAACTAAGATTATACATTTAATTTCTTTAAAATATATGTATTGAACCAAAGACGTGTATTTAATTTAAATACCATGTGTTTAAAACGAAAGAGTGCAAGGAAATCGCAGACCACGTAGTAACTGATGCAACCATTGAGCCCGTGCCTTTGGACGCTTTAGTCATCAACGTGCTCTGTTAGTGACTCTTTCCCTCAGTTTTTACATTTACTTTACTTTTATTTGGCAAATAAACAATAAATTATTCTCGCTCGTCATAAAGCTCTTCCATATTCCGCAGAAACGCATCTGCTCCATTGACTCTGATTAAATTGTACAATCGTGATGTTTGAAAGTATAAGTAAGTTGTAAATATTTAGTTTATTGGAGAACATGGTTTCAGATGTTAAGTATGTGTAAATATTATTTAAATTTCGTTTATTAACAATTTTGAGCTACATCATGGGACCTCCTTTGCCAGTACCAAAATATGAGAATAGGTTTTCCCCTTTTTTCTGGCAACAAAACAGGTGCTAACATGTTAAAACTCCAAACTGAAACCTTTTACAAGGAATCATGTCTGCATTAACCACAATACTTGTGGTCAGAATGCAAACGAAAACATACTCTGATAATATATGCATTGTCTTTGAAACTGATACAGCTTGTCTTTGTGCTGTACGCCTTTTGGCGTCCTCTGGTCTAACACCGTTTGAGACGAGGCTCAAAAGAAAGCTGTCCCTGGTGTGGACCAATAAGTTTCAAAGACAATGCATTTATTATCAGTGTGTGTTTTTTGTTTGCATTCTGACCTCAGGTATTGTGGTTAATGTAGACATGATTCCTCGTAAAAGGTTTCCGTTTGGTGTTTTAACATCTTAACACCTTACTCTTTGGTTATTTCGGTAAAGTCAAGTAGGTATAAAATTAAATAAATTAAATCACGACGTATCTGGCACAACACAAGCACCCGAAACGTCGTGATTTAATTCATTTTATTTTATACCTACGTGACTATCGAAAGAACCAAAGAGTATGGATCCCTGCAGTCACGAAAACTTCAAATCTAGATCTTAACACCTGAATTGTTGCCAGAAAAAAGGGGAAAACCTGTTCTCAATTATAGAGCTGCCTCTGTGTATTGCTTAGCACCCTGGACTATATAGAGATTCTTGTTTTGATTTCATCTATCTGTGTTGCATTTGAAACAATGGGGCAAGTTTATTTAATCAGCTCTACTTCCTCTGTACACCCAGCAGTATGAATGGGCAACACCACAGGTAGCTCAGCTGCAGGTCACGTGCACTGAATTAAGTGTGAGGATTCCCACCCCTTCCAACGTGTCTCATCAACCTTGAAGAATAAAGCAAATATCCTCCAGAGCTACGTCCAGTGAAATCCCTTCCACAGTAGTTGTGTGAGGAAGGAATTTCAAGGTTGCACATTTACCTTTTTTTATTTAAGAATGATTAAATTATGTATAGTATGCTACATTCCCCATATGTGGAAAGGCTTTGAGGAGTTTAACTGCCATATTTTCACATGTTTTGTATTTTTAGAACTTTTATCTTGATCTTAAATGAGTCCGTTTCTGTAAAAGGTACGATGCACTGCTGCATTAAATATTCTTGACTCCGACCCCAATCCAGGTATGTCAAGGATGTTGCGCAGTACGTCAAAGCAACAGTAGAAACTCATAAAGACAACCCAAAGGATCTGAACAAGTACTTCCCATCCCTCATCGTCTGCGTACGCGACTTCACGCTGACGTTGGAGTTGAATGGATATCCTTGCACTGCTGACGACTACATGGAGCATTGCTTTAGAATACGCAAGCCAGAGACACAACGTGGTCAAGAAGAAGCAAACAAGACATTCAACAAGCAGCGCGACATAATGTGCCACTATTTTAAGGTAACAGACTCAATTAAATACCCATTCATCCATAGGTTCTTAACCTATGTTGATTGGGCCGAGACGACTGTCACTACTGATAGGGGTAATGAAATTGGTCTAAGCGCTCCTGTCCCGAACCAGAACCTCTAACCTAGTCTCAACTCTTAACTTGTCCTAATTTTGCTTGGTTACACAGAAAAGCTTCACCGTGTCTCATGACTCTCTTTAAGGAGGGATCTGCCATGTTTATGTTGGTCATTATGATTTAAACACTATGATAGTCATATCTAAAGTTATTAATTTTGCTGTTACCCCACGTACAATCCCTGTTGATGAGATAATTTCTGCAGTGGAATCAGTATTTAGACATCTCCCACAAAAAAGCTAAGATGACGAGGCATGAGGTTACCAAAATAATTGAGAACAGTACATTGCCGAAAACAAATGTTTGTCTCGGTGAGGCAAACGCCTTAAGAGAATTGAGAGCAAATAAAGATATCCAAATTCTTGCTGATGATAAGGGAGGGCCTATCAACTGTTGTGAATCCTCATGAGAATTATAATAAAATCTGAGATTTACTGGATGAGACTCAACCAATGCCAAAGACGACTACCATCATTATCAAGTCATTAACTCCCAAGGAAGAGCTATACCTGACAAAACCAAGGGCGTCAAAACCACCAAGACTTGATGGGTGGCCAAAGTCACAAACCTGATGTCCCATTAAGAACCATAGTACAATAGGCTCTGCCATATACAAAAGAGCACAATACGTAACAAAACAAATACAGCCCTACATTGGCAGGACCTCTTTATCCATTAAATACTCAGAACATATTGTAAATATTATTAAAGATATTAATCTTAACCCTAATGATGTTAGGGTAAGTTGTATGTGACTTCTCTGTTCACAAAGGCTCTGGTGAACGAGTAAATTAAATTACCCGATACTCTGTTAACTAACATAGGTTTACCCAAAGATATACAATGACTAGCTGAGCACTGTCTAAATAACACTTATTTTTTTGTGGAAAGGTGACTTCTGTAAATAAAAAGGAATGCCAATGGCCTCCCCTTTGTCACCTACAATTGTGAATCTGTACATAGAAGACTTTGAAGCAAAAGCACGAGCTTCAAGCACACTAAAACCCTCTGTTTGGTTTCGATATATGGATGACACATTGGTGGTCTGGCTACATGGTAAAGATACACTTAATCCATATAAAAGTAAAAAATAGTGGGTTCGTGGGTTTGTGTGTGGGTTTGTGTGTGGTCGCCAGGTACCATGCCGTAAGCCCCGCGGTCAGCAAGCGCTATTCCTTTTTTACATCCGTCAACTTTAAATAAGTTTAATTAGCGATTTAGTACGATTTTTCCGTGCTGCACCATTATTTATTTATTTATTGCGCGTGCACGGCCATACCAACTCACGCGCCTTTAGTGGGGGGAACGGCCCATGCCAAATCGCACGCCTTCGGTGGGAGTCAGGGAGACATTTTCTTTTGCGTTAAAAATGCTATAATAATACAGCGTTAAAAATGCTAAAAATACACTAAACGCTGACGTAAATTCTTCACTGTGTCATGTCCACCCCACCCCGATGCATGCAGTTACTAATATATACAGTCGCGAGATGCTAGCACTTTAGGCAGTAGACCATTTATTTATCACGCGCGCACGACCATACCAAGTCGCACGCCTTCGCATTAAAATGCTATAAAAATACACAACGCTCAAGTTAATTCTTCACTGTGTGATGTCTCCCCCACCCTGACGGGTGCAGTTATTCCTACTATACAGTCGCTAGATGTAGCAGGTACCACCACAGTCGGTATGCACTGCTGTAATCATAGCAGGTACCACCACAGTCAGTATGCACTGCTGTAATCATAGCAGGTACGACCATAGTATGAACTGCTGTAATCATAGCAGGTAGCACCACAGTCAGTACGCACTGCTGTTAGATTTTTAAGAGTAGTTTTGAATTATTTTTAAGACCCGGGCAACGCCGGTTACTTACCGCTAGTTAATTTATAAATCATCACAACTTGCAAAGCCCATCTGTCCAGTTCACCATGGAAGAAGGTTGATAAAGCTCTCCCATTTCTGGATATTCCGTTTGGGCCCGGCCGAAATTGAAAAATAACACAGCATTAAAAGAGAAGAAAATGCTCACTGACCCCTTTTCTTCAATGCAGAATCACACCATCACCCCACACAGAAAGCCTCTTCTCATCAAGGCACTCATACATGAGACTATAATAACAAATAATAGTAAATACTCCCAAACACAACTGTCGGCAGCGGCAGAACACGCGTGCCAATAAGGGCACTTAATTTATTTTGATAATGTTGAAGTTTTGCGCTAAACTATTTACTACTGCCCAAGACTAATTGATAATCTATTGAAATTGAGATAAATACATATTTAACCGTTCTGATAGCCACAGGCTTAGTGCTGCTTGTAAGCGTAGTATCAAGTAATATAAAGTAATACACTTTTTCTTATGTTATTGTTTCCCTTCTACGTGACTTTACCGAAATAACCAAGAATAAGTGATACACTGTTTAACTGCATGCCTATACGGGTCACTATACGTGGATGGTAAAAAAAACTATGAGCAGCAAAGAACAGGTATTGAGATTTTTGCACGCAAAAACGGCAGAATGTTGTTGCATATATTCGGTCTTGAAAAATTATAAAAATTATTAAAATTAAATGAAAATTAAAAAATGTGAAATTTTCCGAAATGATGCTAATTTATGTAATACCAATTATGCATTATGCTAATTAGGAAGGTGTGATTGCATTAGGTGGCTGTTGCTTGTACGTGCTTTGTGGCGGCCTTTGAAGCCCGGTAGAGATTTCCCCAGACTCTCATTAGCATAATGTACATTAATTAACTGTGAATAACCAAACCAATAATATATATATCCATTGTAATCGATATGAACACATTAACCCCACCCCCCTGGTCTTTGCACCTGATTGGCTGACAAGTGATGACATTAAATGTATCCCTCTATTTAAGACCAAAACAGGAGGATTTCTCCACAACTACGGCTGTTGCCTTGATAAGGCTGGTTGTAATTACCGGTAGAAATGTCGGACTCGAATGTTATGGGTTTTCTCTCCTACACAATGGTGAACTAGTAACGAATCAGCATGTTTTGTTTACCGTGACAAACCCTTACTAATCGGATGTGTCGGGTGGTGGTGGTGGTTTAACGACACACTTATATTTACGTGATCTAACCCAAAAAACCTGGATTAAGAACATGCAATGTCGCTACGTACATAGATGAGGCTATCATTACCTTTCTTCAAGTGTTGTCAAGTCAAAAAAGGTAAAGTTATTAATACCATGTGAGTTTGTGTTCTTCCCAGACGAAAGCCAAGTTTCAGTGATGCATACTATGTCTAGTCAGAGGTTATCTATTTCAATTGAAAATGTACAGTTTTTAGAGACAATTAAAGTGCAGAATGCCCAAGCCAGAATAGTTAGCAAAGTCAGAAGCACTAAATGATAATACAGAGGAAGACATGCTGTACACCCAAGATTACATTCAATCCCACCTATGAGTAGGAGCAAGGCTAGCAGCTTGCTAACTAATTATCGATTATATAAACAGGTGACCTTACATCGCATGGAATTAGAAGAGGAACTGGAAGGTCAGGTTAGGAGAGCAGATATGTTGTGGAAGTGACATATAGAATAGTGAGATAGAGTTAGTCAGGAAAGGATATTTTAAAAAGGGCGACTTTAAGAAGAGAGATAGGGAGAGGAGCAAAGGAACAAATACACATTAGGCATAAAGCTGTCTCCTAGAGCAACTGTAGCAAGCTATGCTGAAGCAGTAGCAGCACAGAAGTATGTGTAGTAGTAGTTGATTTTAATCATTGCTGTTTAAGCAGCCACAGCAACAGCAGTTGGTTGCAGTAGCTGCCACAAAGACCATTGAAATAGTTGTAACGGTCACCATAACTGTTGCTAAAGTCTTCTTTGGTTCTTTCGGTAAAGTCACGTAGAATGAGAATAAAATAATAAATTGATTAAATAAAATAACACAACAATAATTAATTATTTTATTTTATCAATTTAGTTTATCAATTTATTATTTTATTCTCATTCTACGTGACTTTACCGAAAGAACCAAAGAAGATGAATCCTTGCAGTAACGAAAGCTTTAAATCGAAATGTTGCTAAAGTATCTGTGGAAGTCGAGATGTTGCAGTAATTACAGAAACATAAATTTATGCCATAATTGCAGAAGTCGATGTTGCTGCTGCGACAGTTGCCAAATTGATAAGATAGATGGGACTCCAGTAAATAATTCGGAATTAAGCCCCAAGACCCTGGTAGCAGCTCTGCCCAGCGCCCTGCCGATGAAGGCGATTCCTGCCAGGTAGCACTTGCAGGCTTCACCCCCGGGTAGGCCCTTGGGCATTCAGGAAACCTGCGGCAGCCGCTGACAAATCCGTCGGCGCTCACAGGAAGGGTTCCTCTTGCTGGCTCCCGAGCAGGAATTGACGGTTCTGTCTGTAGGTGAGTAGCTGTTAAGGGGTCTCTTTCAGCATGCTTCTTCAGGTTCAGAGAGCCCTAGGGGAGGCCGCAACCTCATCTGGAGACCATCAGTTGGCAGTGCATGGACACGACCCTGCCGGCGGCCAGTACAGGTCAATGTTAAAGGACTCGGTTATGAGGCCAAGTCGCCAAGAAACATTTCAGGGGGCCCCACGTGACGATGAGGGAAAGAGAAGGGCACCTGACAATGAGGGGAAGAGCCATGGGATGCCTAGCACGGCATCCACACCGGCATCCACCTTGCTGCTGATGAGATTCACTCTGAAGTAGTGTGGTCAATGGGTTGTGTGTGTCAAAGAAAAATACCGTTATGTTTTTTGTGGAGAGACAAATATCATAATGAGATGTTATTTTTGAAAAATAAGAATAGGTTTTATCCCTTCTGGCAATAGAACGGGTATTAAGATGTTTAAACAGCAAATAGATAAAAAAAAATCAAGAAATTAAGTCATCATTAACCACACGTATTTGTGGTCAACATGCAAACAAAACATGCTCTGCCATAAAGGGTTAAATCTATTATTTTTGTTATTTTGTTTCGTTTTACAGAAGCGCAAGTGCTTCACGTTCCCCATGCCAGTCAACCCAGAAGACTTAAGCAAGCTGGAGACCATTCCAGATAAAGATCTCAAACCTGGCTTCATCAAGGTTGCGAATGAATTCACCTCTCACATCCACCAGGAGGTCAAGTACAAGAACATTGATGGAGTCATCCTCACGGGACAGCGTAAGCTCAGCAAAATACACACCATATTTTTCCTGCCAATGAGGATGAAACCGGTCTTTTTGTTTCACAAAAACCTGCTTGGACGGACAGATCTATGTGGTCTATATGACCATGCTTTCAGCTCTTTTGAGTTGGTGGTCTAAACTTTGTTTCTCTATTTCACCACTCTAATTTCTCCTTTCTTTCCTCAACTTTCCCCATTATTACTTCGTGGATAAAATTCAGATTTTCTTATCCTTTCCTTCCTTTTCCCATGACCTCGCTTACCGCATTTCATCCTGTCTGGTATCCATCCAATTTTGGATGTCACGTCACTTTCTGTCCAACAACCCTTCCAAACAATCTTGATTTGAAGCTTTCGTGACTGCAGGAATCCATACTCTTTGGTTCTTTCGGTAAAATCACGTAGGTAGAAGAATAAAATAAAAATAATAATATATCACGACGTTTCGATCGCAACAAAAGCAGTCGTCCTCAGGCTGAAAATAGAATCCAGCAGTGGAACTGCTGAACCAGCGAGAGAGCTGTTACAACAAGAGGTTATACTGGTAGGAACGAAGTTGTAAACTGAGTGTACCAGCCTGCAATAGATTAATGTGTCCGTCTGTCCGTCCGTCCCCTTTCAATACTTTAACGAAGTGAAATCTCGTGCTGTTGGGTGTAAAATCAGCAATAGACAGCGCAGAGACTTGATATGTCTTATAAAATTGCGCAAAATTCCAATGTTCGTACCAGCCCACCCTGCAGGAACCTGTTAAATGTGGCAAAGGGCAAGTAGGCGGGGGTCTTAGCTGGAAAGGAATTCCATCCACGGACGCAATCACGTCAGTTGTGTTAATGGGGGAGATTAGGGAGAGAGAGGTTAGGGAGATAGATTAGCATGAAATGAGCTTCTGTCGCCGCATAAAAGTATCGTCCCCGCATATGCGCACAACAGCAGTGTTAATGGGAGATTAGCACTATGTTGATGGGAGAGATTAGGCAGGGAGATTAGGGGGATTAGCAAGTTTATGTCATGGTTATGTGTAACACAACCTGCGGCGCTGCCAACTGCGCTGAGAGGCAAGCGCGTCCACGCAAGAAAACCACCGCAACGGTGGTCACGCCAGTGAGACACATAGCCCATCACGCAGCCAGAACCATCGATATATCGAGGCTAAGGGAGCAGAGGTGGCCATGTTAGTGAGACCCAAGCCCATTAATGCAGAGGCACCTAACAGGGCAATGCAACTCAGAGAGTCGGAGATAACAGCCAAATGGCAGGGAAGAATGGAAGCACCACAGCAAGTTATGACTTTACTTGGTTAATAACATCATTCCAATGATTGCTCAGCTCTTCTCGGTTGAAATTTTATCCGTGTTTATATATCTGGATGGCTTCATGGACAAATCTTTGATGGTAGCCCGAAGGTTTGCAGAGTATCTTGGTCTCAGAAAAAAACAATATCGTGCGAGCCCACTGCGTTATAACAATGATCAGCCACGGCAGAGGTCTTGGTTCTGCTGTTTTTCAAATCTGCCTTGTGTCCGCGGACGCGGTCCGAGACATGTCGTTTCGTTGCCCCAATGTAACTGATGCTGCAGACACAACTTAGTTTATAGACACCAGGGTATTGCATGTCAGGAATGACATCCTTTACAGATGGGATCAAATCACGGATTTTGTGTACTGTATTGAATCGGACCTGGATATTGTGTGTGTTTAAGATTTTGGAAATCTTTTTTGTAACAAGCTTTCCAAAGATTATGGTTTTGATTGGGTCCTCAGATGGTTGTCTCCCCATGGTTTTGGATACAGCTTTGCGGATTGTGCGGTAAGAGTATCCATTCGTCTTGAGGGCTTGGTGTACTTGCTCCAGTTCACTGGCTAGGTGGCGCTGGTCGGAGATGCAGTGGGCCACATTTATAAGCTCTCTCGCTGGTTCAGCGGTTCCACTGCTGGATTATTTTTTCCGCCTAAGGACGACCGCTTGTGTTGCGATCGAAACGTCGTGATATATTATTTTTTAATTTTATTTTTTTACCTACGTGACTTTACCGAAATAACCAAGGAGTATTCTTTTGCTGTCTCCTACCGCAAAGGTGCCCGACACACGAACGTGGATGCGCTGTCGTGATTGCCAACTACCTGCGCTTGCCAGTTTCATATATTCAACATTCGCAAAATCCGACTGCTTATTTCAACCTCTCCAGCAAAACTGCCGTCTCACCCTCGATGTTCTCAATCTTTGTCTCTTCTGTTCCTCCTCCTTGTGTTCAAACACTTTTTTCACTCAGTCTCTTCTCGCCCACCTTCACTGGAACAAACTTCTCCTGCATATTAAGCAGTCATCTTCACTAACTAGTTTCTGCTCCTCCCTTAAAACTAACTTTTTTACCCCTGGCTCATCCCACGACCTCTTAATCTCCCCTTTCTAACTACCACCATTTCTGTTCCTTCTTCTTAATCTCTTCATGGATATCACTCATTCTCCATCCATTCAATCCACCCATCATCATTTGGTCTCGTTTTTTATTTTAATTTTACTTCATTCACGCACCACAGGTGCGCCCATGACTTCCTCTAATCTATTTTATGCACCTCATCTTCACCATTACCTTCATATGTACCATTGCTGACTCTCATTAAAGTACCTTGGTCATGGTACTATATAAATGACAAGAATATAAGATCTATACGGGGTAGAGTGTTATCCCCTCTGGAGCACTCCGAGAAAACCCATGCACATGTTCCTCCCAGCTGTATACACGCAAATTACCTTCCTGAAAACATTCCAATATAATACATAGTCATAAACATAATACATGTTGTGTAGGAGATACAACAGCAACCTGTATTCTCACATCAGTATGTAGCTCGGTCTGGAGCACTTCTGCTTGATTTCTTCTCAACTCAGCCTTGCCTGATTTTTTTTGCTTTGACATATAGTAGCCTAATTTAAATAAATGCATGCTTACATGTAACAATGTACAATTATAAACACAGCACATCAAATAGAATTAAACTCCCACTGCTCATAATTTTTAAAAAAATTAAATCCAGATTGAAAACTAATTTATTTAGAACTGCTTTTGTATTTAGTTTGTTGTCCTTCCACGGACCTCTGATTAGCACGGTTGGCTTCATACAGTGTAAAAGAAGTTAAAACAAACATACATACAAATTGAAGTAGTATGCCAAATTAATATCCACCAAACACCACCCATTGTTAAAATTATTAGTCTCATTTGCATCAGAGAAAATGACTCACTCCCCTGGCTTCCATTGTGTTTAGTGGACATCTATCACAACAACCACCAACGTTCACAACTAAGTGGTGGTGACGTCATCATAGCGCTTGTGCCATGCTAGGTGCACTTTGAGGCTACTTGAAGTGTCGAAGGCCTGCTGGTAGGTGGTCTTGGAAAAGACCCAGCTTCCATTGGTTGACTGAGATCACTGCGAGATGGAGCAACTGTGCTGTCCACCGTGTCAACTCTGCGTTTTATCCACTTGGTGTTACGCTCATTGTTGTGAGCATCGCTCATCTGTCCTCCATTGTTAATGGTAGGCGACTACCTCCAACACCCCAGCAGCATCCTTCACGAACCTCCTTTGTAGAGGCTGATTTTAATACGACTGGTATCAGTCATCGGCAAGTCCAGTTAACTCCACATCCTTTTGTACCACATCAGTCCAACTCTTCTCTAGCCCATGCTGTGCCCATTTAGCCTCATCCATCCGGCCAAACTGAAGCTGCTTGGGCATACCGTGACTGAGTATGTGGACTACATGACCGAGCCAATGCAGCCTTGCTTGCAGGAGGAATACATTATGGTACTGTGTCCATCTCTTTCAAGGATCTGTGAACTCCTCACACAATCCTGTCAGGTTACACACAGGATGGGTCATAGGCAGGATAGCCTGAATGTTTCAAACCAGCACAGATGTTCCTTTAGAGGGCTCCACGATTCACAAGCATAGTGAAGGGAGGCTATAACTGTGGCCGAGAAGACCCAATAATGTGTATATAGTGACATGCCAGATAGCGTCCACACAGCATTACGTAGCAGATGAAACATTAATGCTGCCACTGAGTGACACCTTGACTGCCAAACTAGAGCTATTCATAAGCACACTGTGCAAGTATGGAATACTTCTCCACTCTCTCCACAACTGCCCCATCACTCATGGAGGGTTGAGGGAGGGGAGTATTTCATGACATAAAGTAACCAGGCAGGTGCTTTGTTTTTTTGGTGCTGATGGTAATGCCCCGTATCTTCGTAGCCTGCTGCAGGTTCAGCAGTAGCATCTACAACTCCTTTTGAGAGTGGGCAGAAATTACTTGATCATCTGCATACATATGGTTGACCAATAGCGAGTCATCCCCTGAATGCACCATTTTGATCTATACCAGAAGGAATTTCAACAGGTACATCATCCATAGAAAGCTTCTCCAACTACATGGTCAAAGACGATGTCAAATAGTGGTGGGGCCAGAGGACATCCTTGTCGCACCCCAATGACAACAAAAATTGGCTCCGACTCTTAGCCACTCAACTTTACCTGGATCTGCCCACCATAATGACAGTATTTAATGATTGTGAGCAGATGTTCTAGGACTCCAAAAGCACAAAGAATAACCCAGAGCTGTGGCCTATTGATGGCATCATAGCCATTGACCAGGTCAATAAAGCAGAGATGCAGGTCCTGTTGAAATGCTCTATACCTTTGCTGTAGCATACGGACAGAGAAAACGGCGTCCGTGCAAGACCGCCCCGGTCATAAAACCACAGTAGGGCTCTAGAAGCTTCTCCTCAGTATGTCTGGAAAGGGGATATTGAATAATTATTGCAGTACCTTTTCTGGTGCACTATGGAGCGAGATACCCCAGTAGTTGTTGCAATCAGTGTGGTCTCCTTGTTTGAAAATGAGGACCACCAGGGTATCCTTATAATTCTGCACAACTCATCCTGTGGACCAGACAGTTGTAGTGATTTTTATTTAAAGCTTTCGTGAC